TGGGCACCAAGGCATTCCAATAACACAATGCTTACCTAGTAAATTGAGTAAACCGATCCATGACTTCCAACAAAAGATTGTGTGATTATAATATGCAGCACCATTATTTCATTTCAAATCATAATGGGTCCCCTGTATACAAACAAGAAGAAAAAATGCACCTGAGCATGCTGATAGCAAATAATCGGATTCCAGCTGTCAGTTTAAAATCACAGATAAGGAGATGAAAGGAGACATCTTGATGTAGCAAAGAATAAAGCTGGCCATACATTAGACAATTTTCTTGCACAATTTTCCTTTAGATTTACCAAAACCATCTAAAATGAGGTCAAACCTAAACACTTTCAATTAGTATGCAGTCAGGCAGGTCCTTGCACTACACAGTTAAAGGGAAATCTAAACGAAAGTGAATAAGAAAGCTGGAGAATGTATGACCAGCTTTAGTGTAAAACGAAGATAAAAAAGTGGAATTTCCCTTAGTTTTCAGATGTATAGTGAACACACAACACTGCAATTTTTTTAAATCTGATCAACTGCCGATCTGCAGTTGTTGGAAGATGTAGACTGTAGAGAAAGATGTTTTTGTATTGATCATAGACCGATTTGCAAGAGTAAGCACAGTATACAGATCAGTGTGTTTGTTGGGGTCCTGAATTTCATGGGCAACACTGAAGTTTGTGCTTTATGATGATGTTTCTCTTACATTCCAATACATTAATGAAGATTAATTGTCTTCCAGTCAAACTGATTATGGAGTGTATATGTTTGTATGTATGTGTTGTAGGAACATTACCTGGAAGTTAATGGTAATGGTTAGTGGTAGGGACTGATGTGTGAGATTATTCACAGCAGCTGCCCTTGATTATAGCAAGTAGCCAATCATGTTATTCAAAGCGGTTGCCCTTGACCGTGGCAAATAGCCAATCATGTTATTCAAAACATCTTCCCGTGACCATGACAAGTAGTCAGTCATGTTATTCAATGTGGTTGCCCTTGACCATGGTAAATAGCCAATCATGTTATTCAAAGCAGCTGCCCTTGACCATGGCATCTAGCTAATCATGATATTTAAAGCAGCTTCCCGTGACCATGGCAAGTATGCAATCAATTTATTCAAAGCAGCTGCCCATGACCATGGCACCCCAGCGGTTTGTCAGCTACAAGTTGTCAGAGGGTAGAAGAGAGATTTGAGTATGCTACAAATATCTGCTACAATGTTGCTGGGGTGACATGGCCTTAAAGTGTTACTAAATCCACGATCCTGCCTTCACTATATCTGGTCTTTCACAGTACACAGAAAATGGAAATGTAATTATTTTAGTAAATATAGACTGCTAAATACCTTTTCTCATCAGCAGTTAGAGCAGTCTTGTGACTTCTATCAGTCTAGTCAAGCACTGGTTAAAGTTTGTAGGAGGAGTTTTCATTTTGCTCTAGGAAGATGCAGGACCCCTGACCTCTGTCTGGACAGTGCTAATTGGCTCTGTACTGATCACATTCACTCTCCCAAGAAAAAAGAAAACTCTCTAGCAATGCACACCAAACTGAGTATGTGCAGAGTGACTCTACACGATATGTCTTATCAGGAGATAAGAAGGGGACACTGGAAGAAGGGGAGGATAAGAGAAATCAGGATCAAAGAGTTTTTACACAATGAAGAGGATTAACCCCTTAGGTTCCACAGTGAGTATAACAAGCACGCTTTACTGCATATACAGACTGATTTTACTGTTGTGGGTTTAGTAACACTTTAAAGATGGCCTTTGTCCTAAAAAAATGAGAAATAGGCAATAAGTGCTGAGGTGTATGTCTTACCTCTATTATTGAGCAAATAGCAGCCTATTATTAACACATACCATGGAACCATCTAGAGATTGCACAATAGTAGCATAGTATTATTGACTGACAGCTCAAACCTACGCATAGAGGTTACAACTATCCTTCGCATCAGTTTGGTAGTTTAATGGGTATTTTTTCTGATTGATTTGGTCATATAGGAATAATTGATCTATAGTCAACAATGCATTTGATAGATATGCCACACACAGGGGAAGAGGATTTCAATCAATAGTTAAGATACAATCTTAACTGATGAATGTACAGTACATTATCAATCACTTCTCAGTTTCCACAATGTAATCTCATAATCTGATTGATTGAAATCCAATTGTATCCATGAACAATATATCTCAGGGCTGCTGATCGATACAATATTCTGCTCTGGCTAATTGACACAGTTTGATTGAATCTGACTGCGCCTGAATCTAAATCAATGGAATAGAAAGTTCTGGCTATTCAATTGATTGCAGATTCAATCGTTTTGATCGTCTATGGACACCATTACAGTTCATATATGGGTATAGGTACATGGACATAATCACAGGGCACAGGGATGTTTGAGTATCATCATTCACAGCAACTTTATGCAACAGGTAACAAGTCAGATCAATCAATAAATAGTATTGTTTACAACCCAGTTCCACCTTGGGCAAACAAATAGATCTCCTTCACCCTCCCCAACAACTTTCCATCATTCCATTCTTCTCTCCTCCTCTCTTACAGTCGGACATTTTTGAAATACCTTTTTTGGGTAAAAACTTTGTTGCACTTTATGAATTCTCGCCTAGGCAAGAATTACATATTCAGTTGCACATGACCTCCTGGGATACCCACTTCATGCATCCCAGGAGGCCTTGGGGTACTCTGTAGCACTTTCACTGTGTTGTATCATCAGGGACTGTGTATCCCTTCCTGGTTCTTGCAGCCGTCCCCCTGATGATGCACCATTGACCATGTGTGTTATCAAAAACTTGGAAGAGACAGTTGGCTCCTGTTGACATCAGAAATGGTGGTGATGGACTGGCTGAGCTGTAGTGGACAAGGGATCCCTACCAATCATTTCTGGATTTGCTGGGCTTGTGGGTGAAATTTCTCTCTGGTGCTCACCTCCTTTCCAGTGTTGTCTTCTCACTGATCCAGTGCTTTTCCTCTTCCTGGTTTATTGTTGGCCAGCATTGATCAATCCACTTCTTGTGAGTTTAGGACATCAACTGTATGCCCTTGTGATGGTACTAGACCAAAGACGCCTGTAAAAAAAATTTGTATACAGATCTTTTAAGGGCACAGAGGTGTTCTAGTAAAGGGAGAGAGGGGTGCAAACAGGAGAATGGGGAGTCCAGAGTTGGGCTTTAATAGTTGCTTGTAGCTGGATTCCTCAGTCTTTTAATAGTACTTAGAGACAGAGATGCAGCCTCCTATTCTTTGAGCTGCATGGGGTGGTGAGTAGTACTTGTTGTTTTATAGTCTTTGGCTCTGGGCTATTCAGAAAATTAGGATGGCAGCAGGCAAGTCAGACAACCACACGAGATGGAGACCGGGATAAAAAAAAAATTCAGAATTTGTCCTCAGATTGTAAAAACATCTTCGCATATGACTTGAGGATACCTTTAAACATAGCACTGGGAATAGCCCTCATTTGTTTATCTACCTACATACAAAGCGTGGTGTTCCTTGAAATCTCAAGTATAGTGATGTTTGTTTGTATCCTCCAGATTTATAACTCTCTGAGGAGAGGAACAAGTTAGAAACAGTCTTGTAATAGTCTGCTGTAACCACACTCCGTACTTAGTGGAATCAATGTCACAGTGTATCTTAGCAAGATAATTTATATGTGTAAGTTGCACTACATAGCGGGGAGACCATAGATACTGTGAAGGCAGTCCAGTTGTTATAGTAACCGGGAAGAACATTTCAATAAATCATCAAAGAAAGAAGATGGGCAAAGGCTAGCTAATAACATCCTGTCCAGCAGATATATATGCCATTCACTTTAATAGTGTACATCGCCAGGAGTCTATTGCCTATTCTGGCAATTTGTCCAAAAATGTAACCCTTTCTAATGGAAATTACGTTTTGAAGCACAAACAGCTAGTACCCAGTGGGGGAAGGAGGGGGGACAAAAATATTAGATCTCTAGCAGAATTTCAAAGTGTGTGCGCCTGGCCAAACAAGAATGGCAGAAACCCCACAGATAAAGGACGTTTTGTTGAACTTTGAACTAATAAGTATATGGATATCAAGTTTCCGTTCACAAATGAAAAACATACTAATAGGGTGGCAAATTGTGGGTATTCCGGCGTTAGAGGAGTTACATTTCAGGATTTTCTGGGGTGAGAGCTATAAGAGTAATGAACAAATGGATTACATAAAGCAACATGGAATGTAGTAATAGTGAAGCTACTATGCAGTAATAGTGATAGTGGCCACCAGAAGAATACCATATACTTCTGGGTATTGGGAAGCAAACAACAGTGCTGGTCCGTGGACACTGGCCCAGCATTATCACAAGAGGGTGGGGGGGGGGGGGGCAGCCATGTGTAAGCTCCAACTGGTAATATGATTTGAGTCTGCACAGGACTTTCCTCGCTCCCTGCAGCTGAATGGAGTTTGAATAGACAGCAAAAGGAAGGTAGGTATATGTAGCTGGGAAGGAGGTAAATTAAAGTAAACATGTTGCTTTGGTCTGCATGAGCAAATTACAGTTTTAAAAGCAGATTGGGTCTACTAATGAATCCAGGAATAACAAAAAACTTTGCAAATGCAGCATCTTCAATATTTTCTTTTTATGATTGAGAGTGGCCATCACAAAGCCATGCCAGGGTAAGCATAGCTTCCTTTACATTCAGTTTTTTTTTTTTATCTTAAATTGACTACAGACATAATCTAAAAATAAGGAATATATCTTTTCCAGATACCTGATTCTCTTAATGCATTCAGTACCAGAGATTATAAATTATGATTTATATGCTGCTCTGAAGTCATGCAACCATTGAAGATCACAAACTGCTGGAAGCTGACAGCCCCTATATTAGTTCATCTCCAGTGTAGAGAGAAAATGCTTCCAGACCAGGCATGAGAAGAATTAAAGTGTTACTAAACAAACAACAGTAAAATCAGTCTTTATATGCAGTAAAGCATGCTTGTTATACTAACTGTGGAACCTAAGGGGTTAATCCTCTGCATTGTGTAAAATGGCTGTTTGATCCTTTCTTCTCTGCCCCTCCTCTTGTTCAAATGTCTATGTCTTATCTCCTGATCCCCAGACAGACTGAACCTGTAGCCCTTCTGCACATTGCTGGAGAGGTTGTTTTTTTTTTTCTTGGGAGAGTGCATGTGATCAGTACAGGGCCAATCAGCACTGTCCAGACAGAGGTCAGGGGTTTTACATCCTCCTAGAGCAGAAAGAAAACTCCTCCTACAAGCTTTAACTAGTGCTCAGCAGGACTGCTCTAACTGCTGATGAGAAAAGGTATTTAGCAGTTTATTTACTAAAATAATTGCACTTCCATGTTCTGTGTACTGTGGGAGACCAGATATAGTGAATGCAGGGTCCTGGGTTTAGTAACACTTAAAGTCATCAGGGATATCTCTAAATGTGCATTCCCCTTTCCATAATATGGTTGGCTAGAAGCACACATACTAGGGGAACAGGCATGACTTAGCTAAACTTATGTAGGAGCTGACTGATTCTAGCAGTTTCTGATCTTCACTAATTACAAGGGTTCAATGCGGCACAGAATTAATCAGGCAGTGAAGAAATTTAGCCAAATACACTATATTGCCAAAAGTATTGAAACGCTTGCCTTTACCTATACATGAACTTTAATGGCATCCCAGTCTTAGTCTGTAGGGTTCAATATTGAGTTGGCCCACCCTTTGCAGCTATAACAGCTTCAGCTCTTCTGGGAAGGCTGTCCACAAGGTTTAGGAGGGTGTCTACGAGAATGTTTGACCATTCTTCCAGAAGGGCATTTATTAGGTCAGGCACTGATGTCAGATGAGAATGCCTGTCTCGCAGTCTCCACTTTAATTCATCCCAAAGGTGCTCTATCAGGTTGAGGTCAGGACTCTGTTCCAGCCAGTCAAGTTCCTCCACCCCAAACTCGCTCATCCACTTCATTATGGACTTTGCTTTGTGCACTGGTGCGCAGTCATGTTGGAACAGAAAGGGGCCATCCTCAAACTCTTCCCACAAATTTGGGAGCATGAAATTGTCCAAAATGACTTGGTATGCTGACACCTTAAGAGTTCCCTTCACTGGAACTAAAGGGCCATGCACAACCTTTGAAAAAACAACCCAACACCATAATCCCCCCTCCACCAAACTTTATACTTGGCACAATGCAGTCAGGCAAGTCTGGCAACCGCCAAACCCAGACACGTCTATTTGGTTGCCAGACAGAGAAGCCTGATTTGTCACTCAAGAAAACACGTTTCCACTGCTCTAGAGTCCAGTGGCGATGCGCTTTACAGCACAGCAACCGACGCTTTGCATTGCACTTGGTGATGTAAGGCTTGGATGCAGCTGCTCGGCCATGGAAACCCATTCCATGAAGCTCTCTACATACTGTTGTTGTGCTAATCTGAAGGCCACTTGAAGTTTGGAGGTCTTTAGCTATTGACTCTGCAGACAGTTGGCGACTTCTGCGCACTGTGTGCTTGAGCATGCGCTGACTCCGCTCTGTCATTTTACATGGCCTACCTCTTCATGGCTGAGTTGCTGTTGTTCCCAGTTGCTTCCACTTTGTTATAATATCACTAACAGTTGACCGTGGAATATTTAGTAGCCAGGAAATTTCACAGATGGACTTATTGCACAGGTGGCAACCTATCGCTTCAATTCACTGAGCTACTGATAGCGACCCATTCTTTCACAAATGTTTGTAGAAGCAGTCTGCATGCCTTAATTCTTGATTTTATACACCTGTGGCCATGGAGGTGATTGGAACACCTGAATCCAATGATTTGGAGGGGTGTCCCAATATGTTTGGCAATATAATGTATGTAGTGTGGATCATATGTTTTCCTTGTCCTCAGTCCTTGTCTACTATTACAATTCAGATACAAACACGCTTAAAGTGATATTAGTCACTCAATTTTTTGGTACTTTCAGTAGCTAATTTATTCACCTACTGAGTATGCAGTTTCTTAATCTTTCAATCCTTGCCCATGTTTCACTTTAAACTGGTGCCATGACTACTGCCCCAGGTAACTGTTTCAGCATGGCTCCTTTCTCTTTTAGCTTCCTATGGAGCCACAGTTGAGTTCAGGGACTAGAGTTTTATCTTCCTACACTGTATACATCAATAGAAACACACAGACGCATAGCCTAATATGGCAAGGCACTCCCCTGTTCCCCCACTCCCTTCCTCCATGTGACCCTTCCTCCATGTGACTGGAGACTACACTGTTCACTGTTATCTCTTTCATGTGAAGACCTGAAGTTCAGGGCAGCAGCACTGATAGAGCAGGAGCTTTGAAAGTTGCAAACTACAAGTGCTGGGGTAAGAATTTTAGCAACCAGTTTACTGGGGAATGCTTATTCTATTGTGCTCAATCTGTTATGCTAAAAAAGCTGAGGATTTAATATAATTTAAAGTTAACAGAGCAAAGTTCTTCAGAGAGAAAAAAGAAAAGGTAGAAGGTTTTATTTGCAAGGTTGCTTGGTATTTCTAGACAAAATACTTGCTGTATTTCTAGACTAATGTTTGCGTTGTTTAAAAAGCACGGGTATCTGTCCTTAAACTCTACCTCAAAAGACATACTAGTCTTTGTTTTTAGAGAGGCTTAGTTATAAAAATAAGTCATATATTTACTTTTCATTTCATCACATCAGCTTTTCAATGGTGCTTTTTCCTTTTCTACCTCTATTTCTATGTTGGTAATGGACAGTCAAAGTGCTGTTTTTAAAATTACTTTAAGTTCTCCTTCTCCAGAGTCCCTCTTTGGAAAATAATGGATTTGTTAGTTTGCCTTGGTGTGAACCCACATCTTCCACTGGTGACATGCTTGCACTCTTATTAGTGCACACAAACCAGAATAATGATGCTATTCCTTTGTGCCCATAATAATGAGGTACTTTTTATTTTAAAAACATTGACATATCACATAGAACTATGCTAGCAAAAATTTAAAATTATCCTCCAAAATGTTCCATGTTGCACCTCTGGCTTGTTTATTAAACTAGTTATGTCTTGTCTTTTTTTTTGCATTTATTCTAAATCCGGAAATATTGGTAAAAACTATAAAGTGACCCCACACACTTCAGGTTCTACCCCCAGAGTCTCCTTTATCTCTCCCTCCTATTTTTTTTTCTGCATTCTATTCCCTTTGCAGTTTTTTGCCTTCCTTTTTCCTTACACTTTTCATTTTCCTTTACCTCCCCCCTTCCCTACCTACGTTCTTCCATTTTGATCCCTAGCTCTTTGCCCCTTTCTTAAACCCTTCCCCCTAGATATACCATGCATACCCAATCTACTCTTACCCTTTCTGCTCTATCACAATAAAAAACATGACTTGCATTTTTTTTATATTATTGCTAACATAAAACACTTCATTATTAAACGGGTATTGCTCTTTCATTGAACGTATTAATATTTCTTTGGAAACTGTAATGAAAAGCTACACTCAGGTTTCACTGTCCTACTGACTCTCAGTTTAGTATGTAATTTGAAGGACAATAAAACACACGCACCTAACAATACCAAGTGATATAAAATAACAAATAAATTAATGACTGCAACAGCCATCCCTTATCTTAGATGATCTTAATTAGTCATATATAACTGATAGCACTTGCTAGATAATACTCAATACAATGTGACAAACTTAGAACTTGAATGTGCTCTAAAAACATATTTCACTTATAAGTGCAAAGTGCATAATAAATCCTCAAAACAAATTTTAGTCCCAAATGATGTGTGCCTCTGTCAACTCCAACATCATAAGATACATAGGAAGTCCATAAGACAAAATAGGAGTACTCTTATCCACCAATCCCACCATTAAGTGTTCTACCACCAGTGATTGTAAACTCTCCTCACTCACCAGATTCCATTCAATTCCTAGTTATACAACAAGAAAATTCACATAGCACTTTGTGGTCCCCCAAGGACATTCTTGGATCTCCTGATCGGCACATTTCTGTGCTGTTACCTTCTCCACAGTTGTCTCAATGATGTTCCAATGGTAAAAAAAACGGCATATATTTAAAAAAGAGAGAGAAGAGGAATCCTCTCATAGCGTAAAGCTGTATATGTTGTTAAAAAGGTATTTTATGAAAAGGATTATGCCCATAAAAAATTGAAAAAACGTACAGGCAATACCCTCTCTGATCATGCAGAAGCTGCTGACTCCTCAGTGTGTGTTCCACGCTAGACCGGAAGTGACGGACTGGTGTGTCACTTCCACACACATCATTTGGTGTGTAATTTGCCTGTATCTTTGGTTTGTGTACCTTGGAATGTGCTGTACTCTAGTCCTTGTCATTCAATTTAGAATGTTATGACTCTTTATAAATAAAAAACTACCAAAAAAAATGTAAAGTGACTCCAAAGTAAAATCCTGCTTTAATTGTTGGTCGCAGAGCCAAATTTTTCCTAGGGATATTGAACCAGCATCTCTTCATCATCTTGGGCAGCAGACAATCCTACCCTCTATAACTATGCCTGTACTACTGTTGCATAAGGAACACTAAAAAGCTACTATATCCCTTTGCAGTCATGAAAGATTTTTTCTAATATTCCAAACTGTCATACAAAAAAAATGTAAATTTGGTTGCATGTGCTAAAATTCATCAAAACCCCCTTGCAGCATTTCACAATATTTTAATATATCATTATAAAGAGTGGATGGGCTCTTTTTGCAAAACACTTCTCAGATTTGATCTTCCTTTCTGTATTAACTTCGGAAAAGTTCTTTGAATGTGCAATGAAGAATCGGAGCTGAAATCTCACTGAGGACATTCTGTTAGGAAATTACAGTAGTGGGCACAATGATTGCCATTTGTAAAAGCTTCAGCGAGCCTTTTTCAGGCTTATTGTTCCCACAGAGACAATGACTTGGCACACTATTACAGAGGAAGCAATGTTACTGGAAAGTGCCACCAAAAACTGCTGAATGTAGCTTTTATTGTCCCTGCAAATGAACCTATGGACATGTTGAACGGATTCTTGATAAGAAGCCACATTTTTATGTTTCCCTTTTTAAAAGAAAACCTGTATTGTCATTGATACAAAGTAAGGTTGATGTTGGATAACAGGAACAGTGTGGTGCCACATTATTGTTGTACAGTGGCAATAGTTCCCCTCCTTCCAAGGGCACTACCTGCATCCCTATGTTACCTATTGCACCTGATCCTTAGTGTTTGCACAAGCTCACCCATCGGCTCCCTCATGTTCCTTGTACTTCTTCCTCCACAAAGCATCACTTCAGAGCTGCAGTAAAACAGATAAAACAATTATTCTGCTGTTTATTATAAGTGTCAAACAGCTATCGCCCCTTTACCTAACAACTGGAATTTTACTTTCTCCATCAACCCATCTC